TCATTTTTATTTTTTAAAGAGAACATTAACAAGCGAAGACGCCATCCTAATGGTGAACCTCAGTTTATTGTTTGCGTGGCTTGAGGCTCTGGTAGCAGTCATAAAACAACAGAGAAATCAAAGTCTGTTCAAGACCTTAATGTAACAGTCAGAAATATACGGCTCTCCACAACAAAGAGCTCGGCTCGGCAGTATTATTTTTTATTAATTAATTTATTTCATTTTTATTTTTTAAAGAGAACATTAACAAGCGAAGACGCCATCCTAATGGTGAACCTCAGTTTATTGTTTGCGTGGCTTGAGGCTCTGGTAGCAGTCATAAAACAACAGAGAAATCAAAGTCTGTAATTTTGAGAATTTGACCTTTGGTAGCGACCATAAACTATAATATAATGATTGTTATTGTAAGCTGTTTCACTCATTAAAATTTGCTCAAATTTAATTCAGTCATATATTTCATCAGTGCGTGTGTTTAGAAAAACTAGAGGAATATACATAAATATACTGAACATGGATGTCCAATTATTAATAGAGGCATCGATAGTGTGAATTCGAACACTTTTTAGTTCATTATTTTAATTAGTCAATTTAATATTTCTAATATTTTAAATATTTACATTTCTTGTTTTACGCAACTGGTTTGTATTCATTCATTCATTCATTCATTCATTCATTTATTCAAGTGTTAAGTGGTCTTTTAAGACCGTGTAGCTATAGGCTACTTATTTTAAAATTGCAAATATAATACACAGATTCTCTAAGATTTGACATGCGACAATAAAACTTTTCCAGGCAACATAAAGCATATGATTAAAATGCGTAACTGTTTTAATAATCGGTTTCAAAGGAGGATAACAACAAAAATGGAGTAAATAAACTAACCAGAGTGTGAAATAAAAACATTGTATGATATAGCAGTATAGATCTCATAAGTGACCACACACAAAGATCAGCGCGCATATAATGTATATTATAATATATATATAATGTATATTATACACATAATGTAATTTGTGTACTTGATCTGAATTGTCATCTGAGGCTCGTTCTTTGATCAGGCGCGTGACGTCATGCGTCTGTGACGTCACTTCATCTACCTGATAGAGGCTGCGCTGCCGCATCTTCAGCCGCATAAACTTGAACATTGCACGCATTTGAGGAACTATATACTATAAATGCATGGAGACGATTTAATACACGAGAAAAGGAAGCAAACAGCCTTTCAGAGAACTGACACGTGAGTCACTATTCGTCGCTTTGTAACAATGTTTGTTTGGAAGTATTGTTCTGTACTTGTAGGCCTAATATTGTTTAGCCTATATTTTTTTAATTATCGCTGTGCATAACAGGTTTCGTTATAACTCGATAAATCTAAAGGTTTCACTTCAAATGGTGTCCGGTCATCCTGGTGTGGTCAGTGCAGAGCAAACTTGAATGAGCTCAGTATAAACACTGAATATGTAACAATGTAACAGGCTCGTGTTTTGCATGTAGTGCTCAGGTTGAAACATTAGCGGTCTGCAGTTATCATGCACTTCAGTCTGAGCTGCTGCGAAGCACTCTCGATACAGTATGAATAAGAGAAAGATATAGGACACGGATTCGCCAAGTAGGTGATCATCACTAATAAAACAGCCTTGCGACTTCAGTATGTTGTAGAATTTTTATTTGGAGACACCGTCATGTGCGAAAAGGTTGTGCTCCAGAAATATAGTATATAGGCCTATTTCCGTATCTCTGTTAAAATCATCTGGAGTAGGCTATTTTCATATTGCTATAAATAAATACTTATTACTCTGTTGTCATGCGGCGCCTCCTTATGAATGCATCACTAAATAATAGGCTAATAATAATAATAGGCTAACAATATTTAATAATAATAATAATAATAATAACAGCCTATATTTATTTACAACAAAGTATCTGTCACTACTAAGACCAGCTGATGCATAGTCGTAAAAAATAACATCCACACGTCCAACAATTATTCACAGGCTTCTTTAAAGCCTGCTACTGCAAATTATTTAACCGATAAAATGAGTTTTGTTGGTATACATAAATGTATTTAGGTTGATTCAGTGACGTTAAATAATATTTTTGACTTGAATAAAACCAGTTCATTGGTATTGCTATTTTTTGTTACATTTTTTCCAGTGCACGGGCTTCCTTAAAATATTTACATCATTAATATTATATTGTGATTATTCATTCATTATTATTATTTATTCGTTTTTCAAATAATATCCGGTTGGTTTAGTGAAGGAGTCAGTCAGATGTGGCTGAGTGTGTGTGTGCGAGCATCTTTATCTAAATTAACCTGAAGGCCAACACCTGAAAATCTGAACTGGCAATATGCGGTCGAAGCTTCGAGTAGTTTAAACGTTTATTAAGAGAGACAATGAGAATGATTAAGTTGTGTGCTTTATTTGGCTTTGCGGTCACCTCTTCTCTTTAAACACCTTTATTTTGCTGTAGTTTGTAATTCGTGACAAATGAACTCACATAGATGTTTTGATGTGATGCTGCGAAGAACTATTCAGCCAGAAAAATTATATAGGCTATCTAAAATATGCAAATGTATCCTCATCTTATATCATCCTCGGTCACATGGACCTAGCTATGATTCCACTCTTTATCTTTATCAGTGCGCTGGTTGGTGTTTAAGCAATGCATTAAACAAAAAAGACACACATGATTGATTATATTTGATTTAATTAAGCTGTTAGACTAACCTATATCAGTTAAGATAGGCTATAATGTCAATTTCTTGAAATATCGAGGACACCAACATTATATTTTCTCCCATTAAAAAAATTCTCGCGAATTGTCATTATAGAAATGCACAGTTTTCTATTACAGATTGTATGAAAATATATAATTCACCTGCAAACTAACGAAACGAATCTTTAGGTCTTTGTCGATGATGCTGTTTTTAGTATATTGACTGGGAAGATTATTTAAATGGATAGTCATTCACGAGAGTATGGCGACTAATGAACCAAAACTAAAGCAACAGATGCAAATACAATTAAAATCAATATACCGCAGATATGGGTCAATCCATACCTAAAGAAGAAAAAGCGTGCGTTATGCTGTCAGATCTCAGCAATTATTCCTGTTAAATGGTTGTGTAAGAGAATATAGTCTGACAGATCTGACTAAATGTTTTCTCCGTAAATTACAATAATGACAAAAATAATAATAATAAAGTATTCATAGAAAATAGGTCAGATGCTAAGGCCAAAAACGGGGG